ATATATATATATATATATATATATATATATATATATATACTATATATATATATATATATATATTATATATATATATATATATATATATATATTATATATATTATATATATAATTATATAATATATATATATTATATATATAATATATATATATAATGTATACTATCTGTGCTGTGTGCTGTGTGCTGTATGATGCCCCTGGTTTCACACGATGCTACAGTCTAAGGTGAATCCAAAGATGTCAAATCTGCCATGCACCCATACAGTGCAATAACATGTTTCACCATCACACTAATATCTCTCTAGTGGAATCAATTAAGAACAGTGCAGGTATAAGCATATACGAGAAAAGTAAAAATACAATGAACATGCTAAGAGAAAGAAATATCCAAAGGATATGATCATGTCCTAACTGAATAAAAAGAGTACAACTGATGAACTAAAATAAATGTGAAATATCTCAGTATACAGAGTCAACTGAAATAGTACTAAGGCTCTCACCCTTCAAAATAAAATATAAGTTTATAAATCACTAAACAAATACTAAACTAATATGGAGCTCAAGCTAGCTATCAAGAAATGACGGTGACTATGCAGAAACTCTGTCACCTTGCGGCTCTTCGAAACTCTGACCCACTACCTAAAAAAAGGGAAAACAATAGCGTCAGAGTGCTAGCAAGATCATCTCTATGCGCCCCCAGGGGAAGGGCTACTACATATGATAGAGGCTCTACCTATATATATATAGTCTACCTAAATCATTTACCATGTACTAGATGGGGTTAATACTTAGAAATCCAGAACACGAGACTGGTACGTCGAGAAAAATAATCCAAACAAGGAAACCCTTATGTATATACCATATATCTCAAATTGTAAATCGCTAAATATCAACTCCAAAACTAAAATAAAGGAATAAAGAAATGCAATACTAAAATATCAACCAAACCAAGTCATATATCAACACAACATCTCATGCTACCTTGAGTAGTCAATACGAATATCAGTATATAATCATGTGAAATCCATAATACTATATACCTCTTCACAAAAGAACTCAATGGTCATTCACGTAAATAAATGACCTCCTGCCTAAAACTCGTGCTGTCCTAGGTTTCACAGTACTATCTCTTACAAAGTTCTATGGTATCATCACATCATTATGCATAACGGACTACATGTTCATGCATCGTAAGTAAATATAGCCCACTAGCTTCATCGTATTACCGTGAGGAACAGACTATCTCCTCGTGTATCCTACAAGTATGGCTCATTAGCCTCATCACATCACCGTGTGGAACAGACTGTCTCCTCAAACATCCTTGTTGCATCACCATGCGGAATGGACTACCTCTTCAGGCATCTAATAAATACGGCTCACTCGCCCCATTGCATCATCATGCGAAACAAACTACCTATTCAGGCATCCTGTAATTACTGCTCAATGGCCTACTTTAACGGTATACCGACGCACTACCTTAAGCAGTATTGAGTTGTGCCCATCAACAGTATCCATACAACACATAGATTGTTCTAACTAATTGTCTCCCCGTCGTGGTAAAAATAATACACGTAGCTATCCCCTTCCCGAAAGTCCGTGTGTGCCAAGTCTCCATAGGTGTACGTCTATGTCATACAACGTGCATGAAAAATTATCACAAACAAGACATGTGTCGGTCGACTGCACTAGGGCATTGGTCAACCGATGACCAATTCGCATAAACATGTGTAAAAATAAGCTTCGGTCGAATAAAGAATTACACAAACTCAGGGTGGGATCGATTGACCAATGCATAGGGTTCGGTCGACCGACCAGAGTCGAGGACTCATGTTTGAGTCTCGTGAAGTTATGACAATTTCAATAAAAAGAACTTATAGAACGTCATTATGGGGTATAAAATGTGTTTACTCGTGTGTTTAACATACTAGGGGTTTGATTAAACAATTATTTATTATCATAACATGATCTTTGGGGTTAAAAAATACTTTAAACATAACTAATCATATTAAGTTTGTACAATTAGGGTTTAAAACCTAATTAGTTCATCATCTTAGCAATTAACCATGGTTATAAACATCAAATTAATACATTTCCTTCATTTAGTATTTATATTCACAAATCTATACATCAAACTAGGGTTTTTAATCCATAAGCTTATGTCACTGTATTGTTTCATGCTCAAGACTCAAGTTCTATACATCGACAATTAGGGTTTATACCATGTAAAATAAGAATCATCAATTAATATGAAAACTAATGACCATGATCATCTATTTTTATCAATTAAAGATTAATTATTCTGATCTCTTTGTTGTTTTAAGATTTAACATCAAAACTAGGATTAAAAAATTATCGAAATAAGTACTACACATTAGATTAACAAATTATACATATTAAAAACATGAATTTCTACAAGGAATAGGTTTGGAGGAAGATAATCTTGCCTCAACATGCTGCTAAAAAAAATCCAAGGGTGCAATCAAACATGTTCTCCCTTTCCAAACACCAACAATCTCGCCCTCTTCTCGGTATTTGCTTCACAAAGCTCTCAAAAGTCACCATAATATGTTCTAGGATTTTTGAGATGAAAGGATGGCTGTTAGGGTTCAAAAATATGATGTAAAGAGGATTTTTTATAAAAAGCATATGTATATATAGAGGCAAACCCGAAACAAACAAATCTGGCCCGAAACAGAAAACCCAGTCAGACTAGGAAAATAGCCTTTAGTATTTTGGCTATAATATTTTTGTCTAACCTCGAAATGAGGTGATTTAAGATGCGTTGGAAAGATATTGAAGAGAACGTATAACTTTTTGCTTTTGAGTTTTTCCATATTCGAACTACATCAGTGTGTAATTCATATATACTCTTAAGTGGTTGTTTTTCAAGATTTGAATTGCATAGGTGTATAATGCATATATACTCTTAATTGGTCTCAAATCAATTACTATCATGCTCATTCATCATTAAATAATATTTATTATAATATAACTCATTTAATACTATTTACCATAATATTTTTAAAAAAATTTACAGGGTTTTACAATATATATATATATATAAAAAAGAAATCGGACCGTTGGATCTTCTTGAACACCACTGGCCATTGGATCTTCTTCCCCAATTCCCAAACAATCACCCCGTACCCCGCCCTCTCTCTCCCCAGAACCCAAACCCTCTCCCTCCCTAGATCCCTCTCTTCTCTCCTTCTCATCTCTTCACGCCGATGCTTTCAGCCCTCCTCCTCCATCATCATTTCTCGCCGTCGAGCTCCTCCTCCGCGAGCAACCCTTTTCCTCCATCATCATTTCTCACCGTCGAGCTCCTCCTCCGCGAGCAGCCCTTCCACTCTGCGATCTCGCCTTCAACCTCCTCCGCCTTCAGCCCTCCTCCGCGATCTCGCCGTCGAGCTCCTCTCTCTCTCCTCTTCTCTTTGCTCAACTGAGAAACTCCCAGGTTAATTTTTAATGATGTCCTTCAATTAACTTTTCAAATCCCTATCTCTCTAATTAACTTCATGCCTTCTATTTTATCCGATTCAGTAGTTTTTATTATGTCGAAGATTAATCAGTTCCATCTTTAATGATTTCTTGTTTATTTGTCGAAGATTAATCAGCAAGTTGGCTGTAGATGTTGCAACTTCCCGCAAAATTGGAGCGAAAGTGAGAGATTTTCATAGCTTCTTCAAACTATTGCGATTCCTCCGTGATGTTGGAGCGAAAGTGAGAGATATTGTTATCCGATGTTACCATCCAGGA